GGAAAGACCTCAGACTCCCAGGGTGATTCGCCCAGTCAAGAGTCACCTCCCTATCCCTGAACTGTACTGGAGTTGGTGGACACAAGAGGCTCTAACTGGCCAGAGCTGGTCATATGTCCACTTCTGGAGCCATGAGTTGGACCCGGCTTCTTTTGCCCACCAAAAGGCAGGCAGGGACTGTCAATGCGCCCAAGACCCTTTTACGAAGGACTTAGGACTTAGAGGTCCTCTGTCTGTACCATCCTGGCTGGGAGGCCCTGGGGAAGTCACCTATTCTCAGTACCTCAGTTTCCCCGCCTGTGAATAAGGCTCCACAGGGCTGACATGTTGGAGCACAGTGGGCCCACTGAGGCGTGCCCCTCCCTTTGGTTTGCTGTGTGGGCCATTTACTCTGCACCCCCATACCCCTTACTGTTGTTCTCTATGAATCCTGCGTTGGGGCCGCTCAGCTTGGCAGGCGCTGATGGCTGCCAGCTGAGTCACTGCTCCCTCCTGGGCCTCTTGTCTGGCCTGATGCTTTCTGGGGACTTTCCTGGCCTTTCCTGAGCATCAAAAAAAGGATGGGGTATAAGTCCTAGGTGGGGGAAAAGAGGGCAGAGGCGTGTGTAGACAAGGCTGTGCACACCCTGGCATGGGTTCAAACCCTATGTCCTGTCTCCACCTGTAACATGGAAGGCATGACCGTTTCCTTGAGGTGGGGGACTCCACACGTGAACACCCCACCAGCCCTCAGCTGGGCCGATGGGCACCGGGAACTGGTCATTACTATTGTTTTTGTTCCAATAGGGGTTAACATGCTTTATGCGCATATGCAGACACACATGCGCCTGGTCTGCGTTAGCTGAGGTCTCAACCATGTGTGCCAGAGTCTGCTGGCCTGTTTCTGTGTCTGCACGCATGCTCATGTATTTCTGCTCACGTGTGTGTACATCATGGTTGTCCCTGTGTGTGGAGCCCAGTGGGCCTGAAAAGTAGTGAGGCCCAGCTCCTCGCAGAAAAGGTGTACCTGGAGGCAGGAACTCACTGGGCAAAGGGGGAAGGGCTGGGAGATTGCTGCTGTGTCAGGGTGCAAGGAACATCAGGGGGTGCAGGGAACAATGAGGGCAGCAGAGTCAGGAGGTAGGGCTGGGGTAGGTCAGGCAGGCTGAGAGGATGAGGAGCTGTGGGTGTGAGCCTGGGCGGCTCAAGCAGAGCTGAGCTTTGGGAGGAAATGATGTCAATCCTAACATATTCCCTGAGCACCTATTGTGTGTGCCCAGGGCTAAGGCTACAGTGGGGCCCTGGGATAACAGACACCATATCAACAAACAAGTAAATATATAATTCTGGGGAGATGGTGGAAAGATCAGGAAGGAAAATGCATCAGGGCAGAAGTTGGGGAATCAAGGGAGCATTCTGGCCTAAGGACAAGGAGTACATCTTGAGGTGGGTGTGATCTACGCCTGCAGAGAACTCCAGGTGGACAGCACAGCAGGTGCAAAGGCCCTGAGGTGAGGATGAGCTAACACAGAGGCCCCATTGAGGAAGACCTAAGCCCAAACCAGGGAGGGGAGGTGTGAGGGGGCAGTGCTGGTGGGAAGCAAGGCCACCAGGACAAGCTGTCCCGTAACTGGAGCCCAGCAGGAATGCCCTCACCGCCCTGTCCTCCGCCCGCCCCCAGTGCTTCCTGCTCAGGACAGAATGTGCTGGGAGGAGAGGCCGGTGGCTTCTGTGTCTGGTGACTGGAGCAGGGTGGCCGGAGAATTCCTGAACAGCAGCCCAGCTGGGCCCCTTGCCAGTGAGGGCAGGAAAACAAGTGGCAGGAGCCCTGCCTGCCTGTCACCCCACATCCCATCCCAGGCCCGGCCTGGCCAGGGTAGGAGACAGAGACTGAGAGAGATGGAGAAATAGTGATCAAGAAACAGACATGCAGAGACAGTGAGCCAGAGACAGGGGGAGACAAAGACAATGAGAGACAGACGGAGAAACAATAAGAGACAGCGAGAACACAACGCGGAGAAGCAGAGATGGGGGAGACAAAGAGGATGAGAGAGGGTAGTAAGAGAGAGAGAGAGAAGGCTGGTGTTTGACTCTCTGTATGGGTGACAGGTCTTATTCAGGGGGTTCCTGGGAACAAGTGTAAGACAGCAACACTCCCACCCTCATCAACATCTTCACCCCCTCTAGTCACTTAGTCAACAACCACCCTCATGCCAGCTATGTGCTGGGGCAAGAAACACAGCCCTGACCCAGCACTGCTCTGGGAAGTTCAGAGCAGTACCTTTCTCTGCCTGGCTTTTTTCCCTGAGCATAACACCCTCTAGCTCTATCCATGTTGATGTAAATGGTAGGATTTATTTTCTTCTTATGAATACTACTCCATTGTGTATATGTATCACCTCTTCGTTATCCTTTCATCTACTTATGGACACTTAGGTTGCTTCTATGTCTCATCTCTTGTAGATACTGCTGCAGTAAACATAGGGGTGCACATGTCTTTTTGAATCTGAGAATTTGTTTTCTTTGGGCAAATCCCTAGGAGCAACCTCCACACTACTTTCCACAATGGTTGAATGAACTAGTTAACATTCCCACCAGCAGTGTAGCAGGGTTCCCTTTTCTCCACATCCTCACCAGCATTTGTTGTTCCTAGTCTTTTGGATGTTGACCATCCTAACTGGTTGAAGTGATACCCCATTGTGGTTTTAATTTGCATTTCCCTGATAATTAGCGATGTGGAGCATCTTTTCATGTGCCAGTTGACCATCTGAATTTCTTTCTTTGGAGAAGTGTCTGTTCATATCCTCTGACCATTTCTAATATGTTATTTCTTTTTGGGTGTCGAGGCACCTGAGTTCTTTGTATATTTTTGATGTTAACCCCTTATCGGATGTGTCATTTAGAAATATATTCTCCTATAGTGTAGGATAACTTTTGTTCTGCTGATGGTGTCCTTTGCTGTACAGAAGCCTTTTCCCTCGATGTAGTCCCATTTGTTCATTTTTGCTTTTGTTTCCCTTGCCCAAGGAGATTTGTTCAGGATAAAGTTTCTCACATTTATATTCAAGAGATTTTTGCTATGTTTTCTTCTAATAAGAGTTTTATGGTTTCATGACATACATTCAGGTCTTTGATCCATTTTGAGTTTACTTTTGTATATGGGGTTAGACAATGATCTAGTTTCATTCTCTTACAGGTAGCTGTCCAGTTTTGCCAACACCAAGCTGTCCAGTTTTGACAACACCAGGCTGTCATTTCCCCACTGTATATCCATGGTTCCTTTATCGTATATTAATTGACCATATGTACTTGGCTTAATATCCGTACTCTTTATTCTGTACCCGTGGTATGTGGGTCTGTTCTTGTGTCAGCAACAAATTGTCTTGATTACTGTGGGTTTGTAGTAGAGCTTGAAGTTGGGAAGCGCGATTCCCCCTGCTTTATTCTTCCTTCTTTAGACTCTTCTCAGTTCAGGAATGTGGATCTGGGTTTTGCACACCCCAGGTGATGGGGGTAAGTTACCCTCAGCTTGGCCCCAAGGAACCCTGAACCTTCATTGCTCTGAGCTTGAAGTTAGGTCAGCTGCTCATGGAAGACGCTGCTGGACAGGAAGGGCTGGGTGAATTTCAGGACCAGGAACAGGTGGAAGTCAGGGCTCAAATATTCAGACTGGAGACAGGGGATGACTGACAGACACTCTGGAGGGCAGGTGTCCCAGAGTCTCAGATGGGGAAATTGAGGCTTAGAAGCAAGTGACCTGCCCATGGTCACACAGAAAGCAAAGCCTGGAACCAGATCTCCCTACTGTCCAGCCCCAGGTTCCCCATCTTCCTCCCTGCCCTTCAGCCTTCTCAATGACCATCCCTGGCTGCCAGTTAATTGCTGCTGCCTTGGGCAGGCTGGTGAGCACAGCCAGGGCTTATCAGACCTGGGTTCTAATTGGGTCCTGCCTAAAAGGGGCAGGGGCCCTGGAGTTGGGTGGAGCCTGAGTTCTAGCCTTGCTGTGAGCCCTCATGTGGGATGTCACATGGGCTCTGGGGCATGGATTCCAGAGACCCAGGGGTGGTTTTATTTGATGAGCCGTCTATCTTTACTGTTGGACCCTGGGTGAGTGAGCTCACTCTGCTGGATTCACTCTCCCTACCTCCAGCTCCACAGTAATAGCCTCTGTGCCACTAGTGGTGCCTTAACACCCAGTATTTAAACAAATCCCCGTACAGGCAGGTCCGGAGCAGCCCTACTGACGGTCTCCAAAACATGGAAGAGACCTAAATGTCCATCAGTAGAAGAACAGACAAACAGAATGTGGTCCATCCATACAGTGGAATATTGCTCAGCCACGAAGAGGAAAGAAACCCAGGCACACACTACAATGTGGATGAACCTTGAAACCATCATGCAGGGAAGCCAGACACCAAAGGCTGCATGTTGCAAAGTTCCCTTTACATGAAACGTCCAGAACAGGCACATCCATAGAGACACAAAGCAGATCAGTGGTTGCCAGGGGCTGGGGGCTAGGAGATTGGGAGTGGGTGCTCATGGGGGTGGGGTCTCCTTTGGGAGTAATGGAAATGTTCTAGAACTAGATAGAGATGATGATATGTGACATGATTGTGCTAAATGAATGGTATACTTTTAAATGGTTAATTTTATGGTATATGAATTGCACCTTAATAATGGCAAAAAAAGCCCAGACTTGGGCAGGATCCTCCTGCACCAGGGACCCCCTCCCCCTGTCCGGCCAGCTGCCTCCTCTGCATTTACTGAGGATAGATGGGACCTCTACCTGTCCTCCATCATTCACATCCCCAGCTCCTGTGACTGCGTGAGGGGAGGGCAGTGGGGGTCCAGCTCCGGCCCAAGCTCCGCCTGTGTGTCCCTGGGTCTGTTTCCCCTTCTGGACAATGGGCTGCTCAACCCTCCCCAGCCTGGAATTCAGTCCTGAGATGCTAAGCCAGGTTGGCAGTCAAGGCTACCCAGCTTCCCTGGCAGCTAGGGAAAAGAAATGAACAAACACAATCTATTTGTTCTACACTTTTATTTTTAAAAAAAATTGTACATTACAATGTGTTCTCAGAAAGATAACAATTCAAGGCTTATCAGAAATGCTGAGACCCATGCGGGGGTCCTGGCCTAGCCATGGCCGGGCCTGTGCAGTTGGGAGGCTTGTCCAGCTGCCCCTCATGCTTTATCCCTCCGGGACTCAGGGGTCTCCAAAAGCTCACCAGCCCTGTGTCACCTCTAGCTGACCTCTGTCCCCGGGGTCTGGCTGAATGTTCTGTTGTTACTGTCTTGAAATTCTTAAAATCTTTGAACAAGGAGCCCTACGTTTTCTTTTTCCAAGTTATATAGCCAGTCTTATCATGCATTGAAACTAGATTTTCAGCACCACATAATACCCAGGAAGTCTCAGGTCCTGTAGTACTTGGAGGAGCCCAGGCAGTTCTAGCCTGGGCCCGGAATCTCTGGCTTCCCAAGCCTTCAAAGGCTGGAGCTATTGCTCCTGACGCCCATAGGCCCCACATAGTTCCAATGACCTGCTTCCATGAGTGCCTCAATCCTGGGCCATGTCACCTGCCAGACCTTGTAGTTTGGCGCACTTGTCCTCTGAGCCCCAGTTCTAAGATGAAGGGGGGCAGTCTTCAAACATCACTCAGCTCTGACCTTCTCTGCCTTCTTGCTCCTCGCTTGCCTGCTAAGCTCTTATTCATATGCCAAAGCCTCAGCTAAAATGCCCTTCCCCCAGAAAGTCTTCTGTGTTCCCCCTTTTGGACTCTCCCAGCCCCCGACCCCTTCTTCTGGTCCCATGAGAACTGAAGTAGTTCTGTGTGGCTCTGTTGCCCCCAGACTGGAGGTTCCTGGGGAACATCAGCTCTGCCCACCAGGCATAGACAGGTTGAACAGTCTCTTGGGTCCTGCTCTGGCCATCTGATGCCTAATGAGGACCAGTCTGGCTCTTCCTGTGCAGCGGATGTTGGGACAGCTCTGTCCTGTTCCAATATTCCCGAACTTCAGTGCAGGGAGCCTGGGCTGCTCTTGATCCAGCCACTCCTTGTGTCCATGGTGGCTGGAAGCACATATGTAGCCTCATCCCTTGAGGTATCAGCTTGCCCCTCAGCAGGTCACGCAGTGTGGTCTCATGGCCTCTGAGGGTGGGTTTGGGTCCTCCTGAGGACAGCAGTCCCATTAAGTTTTAGGGGGGACTGGGTTCAGAAACACCCCTCGCCATCCCACTCATCTCCCACTCCCACACGCAGCCCCAGCCAGAGCAGACTGAGGCGCAAGGTGGCTTCAGGCCCGGACTGGATGTGTAGGAATCCCATTTTCATTTAAACCTCCTATGTGCCTCCACCCCCACCTCAGCTCCCAGGGCCTGGAGAGGCGTGGGGGCTTCTCAGATCCCCAGGCTTACCTCGGAGTACAAGGGTGGTGGGCAGGAGTGGAACTCCTGGATGTAGGCGAAGAAAGGGCCTTCGAATATCAAGTCAGGATCCTGTGGTAGCGGGAAAGGGCTCTGCCCCATGACTGCCACCTCGTCATCTGCTACCACCTCTGAGTACTTGGGAGAGGCTGGAGGTAAGAGATAGGGCGGGTGAGGCTGGCTGAGAAGGGGAACCCCCAGTTCTAAGCCAATGGCTTGGAGACAGTTTGTGCTAGTTCTGGGGCTGCCAGGCTGTGTGCCCTCAGGCTGGGATTCTGGGGGGACCTGGGCTGCCAACATGATCATTACTGTGCACTTTTACAGATGAGGGTATTGGGCTGGGGGAGGGAGAGTCGGCCTGGCACCTGCCTCCGTGTCTACCTACCCCCTGGCAGCAGGATGGAGAGCTCACCCTCAGGCCGCTCTGACAGAGCCCCCAGCCTCCAGTCCAGCAGGAAGCTTGCACGGCTGCCCACGCTGGAGGAGCACCTGCTCAAAGGGTGCAGGGGAATGGTGCCGATGACCAGCGGCAGCTCTAAGAGCAGCTTAGAGGTGCCCGGAATGTCCACGCAGACCTGGAAAAATGAGCCACAGTGGAGGGTGCCTAGGCCCTTCTACAGAAGGGGACCCTTCCTGTTCTCCAGGGGTGGCAGGGGGCTGAGGCCCCAGCTCCAGCCTCCCAGGGACCCCAGTCTGGGGGACACAGCAGATGCAGCCACCCCTGCCTCCTAGGACCAGGCAAACACACTACCTTGAGGGAGTAGCCCACATGCAGCACGCGGCAGCGCAGGATGGAAGGACCCAAGGGGGTATCTGAAGCGCCCGGCCCTGCCACAGTGCCTGCTGTCCAGGGCCCACAGGCTCGCCTGCAAGGCTGGCCACCACTGCTCACTTCTGCTTGCGGGCACCTCGAGCCACAAAGGTCTGTGTCTGAATGACCGCTGCCCGAGGCAGCTCTGGGTGTGTGGAGCCATTGTCAATCTCATCAAAGACGGGGATCACCTCACCTGCAGTGGGCAGCAGTGTGGCCTCAGTGTCTCCACCTGCAGCCCCGAAACTGGCTCTTTTCCCCGACCGGCCCCACCCACCTGGTACCTGCCCTTGCGGTTGATTTTGGCCGAGAGGGAGACCAGGCCACGGTTACTGTACCATGATCGGGCAACCTTCTCCAGCGCTCCTGCCTGAGGGGCCTGGTGGGGAGGAGGAAAGGGACATGAGTGGGTCACTTTGTGCCAACCACAGACCCTGTGGAGCTTCCAAACCACCCCAGCTAAGGGAGGATTTGGGGCATGGCCTAGTTTCCTGGTTGCTTTTTAACAATCCAGGAACTGTCTGGAAAATGGGTCCAGGGATATGACCCATCTTTTAAAGCTGAAAATAAAATGAACAAGCCAAACTTTGTGTGCAGCTCAGGCTCAGTAAGCCATTATTACCACAAGCCCTGGCTGTGCCCTGTTTCATAGATGAGGTATCTTAGGCTCAGAGACAGTTAAACACTTTCCCAGAGCCACACAGCAGCTGGAATTTGCACCTGGCTCTACTAGACTCTACATGTACTCCTTTCCTGCCTCCCTCCCTGCCAGGGCCCTGTTGTAACCACCACTTTGTGAACAGAGTGAGGGGTTAAAGAGCCAGTCTGGGTCACCCCGCAGCCAGGCCCCTGTCTGCAATGCCCCTTTCCCCCCAGGAGTAGCCCCTCACCAGCAGAGCAGGTGTGTTGATGTCCACCGGCTCAATGACAGTAAACACCTTCCTTGCCTGGCAGGCAGGGACCCAGGGGCGGTGCAGGGTGGCCTTGATGCAGTATCGGACACTGACGTGTTTGCCCTCAAAAGAGGTGACTAGGGTCCTGGGGGTGGAGGGAAAGGAGCTTCAGGGATCAGATAGACATGCAGGTGGGAAGTGGTGGGGGGGTAATCCCAAAGACTAAGGGGAGTGAAAGACCCACAGTGACACTCTGAGGGCGCTCCCCAGGGGGGCAGTCTTGAGGCTGAGGTCCCCACATACAAAGCAGTGGAGCCTCAAACCTGGAAGAAGCTGCAAACTTGGAGACTCCCCCACAATCCTGCACCCCAGATGACTTACGGGGGCAGCTGGAAGCTGAATGGGAACTCATGGCGCCCAGGAGGCAGCGTCGTAGTCTCTCCTCTGTCTGCAGATAGGACAAGAGGGGGCGCCTCAGAAGGTGCGCGGGGCTCTGGGAGAGCGCAGCACGTGCGCCACGCGGGGGTCCCCGGCCTGTACCTGGCGCTAGTAGCGTGGCACGGTGGCTCACGACATCCACGCACTCGCTGTAGCTTTCCGTGTACGCTGTGCTGGGGCCCGCGCTGCGTAATTCGGTCCAGTGCACGAGGGCGCGGCCCCGCGCACGCAGCTTCAGGGCGCTCACGCGCGCCGAGCCAGTCAGCTTTAGCAGGACCCGGCCGGCCACCGCCTGGCCGCCGCTGAACACCGGCTCGGCGCCCGCGCTCGCGCCATCCAGCTTCACCAAGAACGCCTTCACTTTATCGAACAGCATTGCGCCGGGGACGCGAACCTGCAACCAACGCGGACCCTGGCCTCGAACTCGCGACCCCGGGGCTCGAGGCGTGGAGGCTGTAGTCCCCGGACACTAGCTTGCCCCCCGCACGCGCAGATGACCTCGCTCACCGGTCCGGAGCTTGCTGGCCGGTGCCTGCGCCGGCTTTATACGGAAAGGGGCGGGGGGAAGGGGCGGGAGAGATGTAGACTCCACCCCCGAAAAGGAATACACCAGTGGCAAGGTGAGGGGGCGTAGCTCTGCCCAGGCGTGGAGCAAAATAACAAACGCCCTCCCAGCCCCTGGCTGCGGAGCCCGGGACTGAGGTCACCCAGCAAGAGCATTCTGTTCCCTGGTTTAATCATCAGCGAGCCGCGACTTACAGACTTGACTCGGAGATATGTCCAGCCCAAGATGGAGGGGTGTGGCACGACTTGGTCCCAATTTCCACCCTGACATCTTTAGGACTATCCCAGGGCCTCAGTTCCCCCTCTGTGCAACGTGGGGAGGGGGAGGGGAGAGGAGGGAGGAAGTGGATAGGGCCTCTCTCCATTCAGGCCTCTCTTGACCCCTCTTCTAATTCGAACGCTGCCCAGCACTATGACAACTCCTGGCGCCTGAGTTTCCACGTTCCTGGAGCCGGAAGAAAAACAGTCCCAACCTCAGAGTGTTGTGCAGGAATCACAGTGGATCTCCTACTCGACCCCTTCCAGAGCCTCGCTCCAGGGTCATCAAACCCACTCCTGACTTTTTTCACTTCCTGTCCCAACTTTTCAGCCACCCGCCAACTCCTCCAGGCCCAGCCCCTGTGCCTTCTCCACACACACCGTCCGGGCTGGCAGAGCCGAGTGGAGAGGACACTCCAGGAACCTCCGCGTCCAGGGCTGCGGTGCGCCCTTGGGATGGTATGACCCCAATCTGGACCCGAGTTTCCCCAAAAGAAGCGCACGTAGGATTTCAAGGCGGGAGTTGTCTCCTTGTGGTCGGCAGGGGCCGGCGCCCTCTGGTGGCAGCAGAATACGCTGCTGCTCCACCCCACCCCCTACGGTGCCGGTCTCTTGAGTCTCGCTCAGAAGACGGTGAGACCACCCCCTGAGGCCTCGGAACCCCCAGTGGGGTTGGGCATAACCGGATATGGTCACCCGCAGCCGGTGACAGGGGTTAGAGCAGGACCGAAGGGAGGGGCAGAGGCTCAGAGATCAGCTTGGGAGGCTGCCTGGAGTAGTAGTCTCTGGGGCAGAAATGAAGAGTTGGGATGGGACTTTCTTCCAGGGCCAAGTGGAGCCTGGAGGGAGGACAGGAGACAGTAAATCCGGGAGGAAGTGGGGATGAGGTGACCCTGGAGGGACCAGGAGGCTCGTACTTAGCTAGGGCCTCCCTCAGTCCATTTCAAAGATGGTTCCCCAGAGGCCCAGAGAGGATCAGGCAGGGCCTCAGCAGAGGTCACACCCCAGTTCCTCAAGCTTCGCCCTCCACTGTTTTAAGGAAGTCGCTGGTGAGTGGAACCAGCCCCAATTTCCCTTGAGCCACAGGGGTAGGGCAGTGCCTCCTGGGCCCCTTCCGCTTCTGCCTGGGTTTCCACAGCTGGCTTGGGAAGAGTCCCCCTGCACCTGGGCGCTGTTAGGACGAGGCTGAAAGACTGTAGGCAAACCATCTACGGTGTGCAGCGTTGGGAGAAAGGGGTCTGCGGGCAGGGAGCCAGGTCTGAGCTGCCTCCTGCCACCTACCTCCGCCCATTTTGCAGATGGGTATAGTGGGGTCTGGCTTAGCCGGGAGGAGGCAGCAGGGCAGCCCAGAGAGCCGACATCCTCCGCAGCCATACAGTACTGTGCTGGGGCACAGACTCGCTCCTTCTGAAGCCTCTGTCCTGCCACTGGCTGGCCATGTGGCCTGAGGGTGGCGACAGAGGTTCAGAGCAGGATAGGGAGGTGGCCAAGACCTCGGACTCCCAGCCTGATTTGACCCCACTCGTCTCCTTTTCATGTGGGATGCTTTTCCATTCCCTCACCTGCAAACACCATCAGAACCCCCAACCCAGGGAAGAACTCGTTCCTGCCCGTAACTGGGTGTGATGTGAAGGCGAGTAAACTGAGAACGTGAGATGGGGCTCTTCCTTAGGCCTGGGGCTGAAGGGGAATCTTGAGGTCCAAAAGGTCGGTCCCGATTCCACCCAGGGGACACCCACGCTCTGAATAGTGGATCCCCACCCCAAAGCCTTTAGGTGAAGGGAGTCCCGGCTCTTGGAGTGAGGGTGGGGTGGCGCCCATACCCTGGGAGACTTTCCCAAAAAATAGGGTTTGGGAAGCGGGTAGGTGTCCCAGTGGGGAAACATCCCCACTTCTTGAGACGTGTCACCCGACCTCATAGCCTCTAAGCTGACAGGCTTCTGGCTTTGGGGCGCCCAGACCTGGGAAGAGGGTCCCGGAAGACCCCAGCTGGGGTAATGAGCGTCTCACCTTGGAGGAGCAGCTGCCGCTGCCGCAGGTACGTCTCGGCGGCCGCGTAGTCGCTGGACCCCGCGTTGACACCTACGCTTCGGCCCTCGAGCCAGTGCGTGGCCGCCCCGCCCCGCCACCTCGATCGCTCGTACCCGCAGCGGCGCCGCCGCCTCCAGCAGCAGGCGGTCGCACAGCCTCTCCCCGCGGTGGTACGCGCCTGCCGGGCCCCGCGCCAGCTCCAGCGCGAAGCTGCGCACGCCCCCGGGGCGCATGGCGCAGGCCTGGGCGCACGGTGGGAAGGGCGCCCCGGGTGCGGGGTCCAGAGTGCAGCGAAGAGGCGCGGGGCCCGAGCGTGTCCGCAGGCCTACCGGGTCTCAGCTCTCGGCCTCGCAGCCCGGAACGCCCTCCCGAGCGGTCTCCGGCCCCGACGAACTTGTGCAGGCGCATCTTCGACGCACTTCCTGATCCAACTCGGCCGCCGCTGTGACGCGCCCCGGCCCCTGGGGACGTGCGGCCCTCCCGCTGGCCCGCGCGGCCGACTTTGCCACCCCCCAGCTCGGGGCGGGCCCAGTTTTTGTAGGGTCGGCGCTGTTGAGTAAGAGGCAGGCAGGGGCGGATGTGGCTGGCCCAGAGAGGAGGCAGACGCCAGGCAGTCTTCTGGTCTCAAGTTGCTCTCCACCCGGCCTTTGGCCCTGAGACCGCCTTGGCCTCCCGGTTGGTCTCCCTGCCACCTCCTAGCTGTTCCCCAAGCACACCAAGCTGAAGTCTTGCCTCTTGGTCTTTGCACTGGCTGTGTCACTGTTTAGGTATGCTCTTCCCCAGATCTGCCCAGACGCCCCCCGCCCCCACCACACCGCAGTGCCCAGCTGTTAGCCCTCCAGAGTACCATAGCCATGCTCTGGCCTTGTTTATTTCTCCATGGGTCTGGTCACTGTGTCCGTGACTGCTGTGTTTACTGTGCCTCTGTCAAACTAGGTGCTCCCGAGCCTGGGGTGGGGGGCACAGCATCCTATTCTCACTGGATCTTACAGATGAGGAAACTGAGGTCCCCAGAGGGGGCAACCACTGCCCAGAGGCACCCAGCAGTAGGAGAGTCAGGAGTGGAACCCAGGTCTGACCCCAGCCCACAGGCACCTCCCCAGACCCTTCTGGTTCTTGCACCCAAGCTATCTACCAAGCCAGGAGGGGCCAATGGCCTTATCAGAGGCTGCCAGGGCCTGGAGATCTCAGCCAGCCCTACATTAGCCTCCTCAGGAACCAGGACCCCAGCACCTGCCAAGTGCCTGCCACCCTTGCCTCACTGCAGCATGCCAAGCCCAACGCCAGAGGGACCTTTCTGTTCTACTTGTGTCTGGAACTTTCCAGCCCACCCCAAGTCCTGCCCCAGAGGGGCCACTCTAAACCCAGGATTGTACCACACCCCACTACTTACATCTCCTAGAGTGCCCACCACCAAGTCTGGGGTCTTCACTTTGGCCCATGGGACCCTGAGTTTGAATCCTGACTCAACCCTCCTTGCTCTGCAGCCCCAGGCTGGTAGCTTCACTTCTCTGAGTCTCAGTTTACTCCCCCTGCCCTGGTCAGGTTCTAGTGAACAGTGAGTGTAGTAGTTTGCAGTACGTTCCCTGCATACAGCAGGCACTTAATGCATATCCAGTGAAGACTGAATGACCCTCCTCCTCACTCTTGTCACCTCCCCCATGGGACTGTGACCCATGGCCCCACTGGAGCCTGGCCCACGTGGGTGCTCCAGGAAAGCAGGCTGGTAGCAGGAATGCTCCCTTTATCTGCTGCCTCTGGCAGGCCCCAGCTGGGCCCTGCCCTCTGCAGGGTCCCTGTATCATCACCAGGTGATGGTGCAGATCTCAAGGAGGTGTCCTCAACCGAGCGTGGGCCTGGGGGATACCAAGCTTGGATAGTGATGGGATGGGCTTACCTCGACCCCCACGTCCATGTTGACACCCGGACCCAGTGTCCACCTCCCATGTTGTGATGATGAGGGCTCCCAGCCACACATGACAGGCAGCAACTGAGTGGGTCCTGCTTTATTCAGAACTGGCAAGGACCCCTCTCCCGGCTGCTCCACACCCACTGGGGGCCTGGGAAGAGTCGGAGGACCAAGGAACCAGAGGAAGCTCCGGGCTCCCCCGGTTCCAACCAGGCAGGAAGCAGGCTGTGGCCTGTTCCACACCGTGTGGTATGGCCCTGCCTTCCACCCTTTGCTTGGACAGTCTGGACAGGGTGGGCCCTGGTCCACTCAGCCCAACTCAGCTTTGGCTCCTGGACTCCAAGAGGCGCTGCTGTATAGGGCATCCTGGGTGGCGTGGAGTGGCGGCCACACGATGGCCAAGATTGAGGGGTCCGGTGGCAGGCAGGGCCGTCACCCACAGTCTGAAGGGGCCGTAGGTGGCCACCAGTGCCTAGGGCTCTGAACTACCTTGTCTGGGGGTCCAGGGCTGGGTCGGGAAGGCTGGGGGGCGGGGGGTGGGTGTATGGCTTGGGCGATGAGGCTGGGCAGGGCCTGCAGAGAAGTGCCCAGTGCATCCAGGCGGCTTTCAAGGGCAGCCAGGCGGGCCTCCAGCTCCTCGTGCTGGGCGTGCAGCTCGGACATGAGGTCGTACATGACATTCTGGGTCTGCCAGAGACACAAGGGGTGGGAGGGAGAGGAGAGGCCAGATGAGAGGGAGGGACAGACCTCGAGACAGATGAGCAGCCCTGGGTGGGGTGGGAGGGGCCTGTTAAGGGGACCCAAGTGAGGGGCAATGGTGACGACACACCTAGCCCCACGGGTCTCTCGCTAGATAGACCCCACCTTGCGTGCCAGGATGGGGGTGAGCAGGCCTGAGGGAGGTCAGGATGGTTCTGGGGCCAGGTGGATGTGGCCAGAGCTGCCCCAATGGGATGAACTGGCCACATGACACATGAAGCCAAAGGGTGGTCTTGGGCAGTGCATTCACCATGAGGAATCACAGCCCATAGACCTGTGGGAGGTTCTAGGCTTAGGTTCAAGACTGGGATGATGGTCATGCGGATGTGGAAGGGGGCTCAGCTTTGAACTGCCCCCTCCCTGCACCCATTAGATTCTAGGAGAAGAGGTGTCTACCCCGAGATCTGATCCAATCACAGAGCAGGGAACATGACAGCCAAACAATTACTGTTACAGCAGGCAGTGGGGCATACCCATCACCTAGACTGCTTCCCACCACCCAGCAAGCAGGGCCAGGTTGTCCAGATGTGGCCAGCCACGCAGGGAAATCCCTCGGTGCAGGCGCCTCTCGCCACCAGGTGGCGCTAGAACATCTTTTCGTGTCTACAGCTGCGTGCTGATCAGACACAAGGCCGACGACCTCAGCTCACCACCCTTCCCGGGCCTCGTATGGGAGGACGGAAGGGGCAGTGCCAGGCCGAGGTGGGGAAAGACGCCCCAATCAATCGCTCCGTAGTCGGGGGAAAGAATAAGGCACCCACACGGCTCCTTGCTTCACTTCACCCAGCCTCTCCCTTCTAGCATCCACACCTTTGCCTCTGTCCTGCCCCCCACCCTTTACTGTTATGGGTAGACCTACCCCACCCGGGTGTTAACTACCACCTCGAGCGGACCCCTCCTATGGCCACTGACCTTCACCTCAGCCTGCCTCAGGGGAACAGGCCCCAGGGCCACAGACTAACATCTGCAGGCATCTAGCCCTGGGATGGTTCTCTTTGGCCCTGAGGTTTAATTTTTTTTTTAACTTAGAATAGTACATTTTATTTTTGTCAGAGATTAAACCCCAATATCTATCTAGTACCTGAGTTTTCAAAGGCATTTTATGTGTAATCTCTCATACGACATGAAATTCGCTGGCCCAGGATTTCTACATGCTCTTAGGATTCTGTTCTTTCTCCTACCAATTGAATTATATTTTCAGGGCTCTAGAATATGTTTTTTCTCCTCTATAATGTTCCCTTACAAATTAAATTTATGTAGGTTAATATTAAATTATACTGCATACTCTTAATAATGAAAGGGAGTGGATCCAAAATATGCTGGTATAAGTAATATAGGATAAGACTTAACATCTGCTAAAGATAATATTAAGTTATCCTCAGAGTGATTAATTGATTGGGATGAAGCCAATGAGCAACGTTCACACCTGAACTATTTATGAAAGGCACATCATTGGTCAGAAGGGAGTTCAGAATAATGTGACAAACTGTAATTTCTGAAATTTATTTAATTCCCACACAAATAAGTTTTCTGCTAATGCTATAATTTGAATTTCCATCCACAGCAAGAGATTTGTTTTTCTCTTAAACTTTAGAATTTGTATCTAGATGACATGCTTAGATACAAAAGTACCACTTCACCAATTTATCCCACTAATTAAATGCTCTTATTAAAGCTATTTTATTAGGTGGTGATTTTTTAAATAATATGCCAATGTTAAAATGTAAAGAGTTTACACACAGAAGTAGATTCTCAGTGTCTCTCACAGAGTCTCTAGTCATAGTGGACTCTTGCAGACAGAGCCCTTGTCCCCTGGTGGTGGGTCCCTGCCCACCTTGCATCCTTCGCCTGTGTCACCTGTCTGCTGTCCCTCCCATGGCAGGAAGTGAGTCCTCTCCTGGGGAGCCACCCCACCCAGCCCTGCTCACCTTGGCCAGCTCGGCGAGGGTGTTGGCTTGGTCATTCAGCTTCCCCTGCTCAATCTTCACACTCCGGAGCCTGCGGGACAGTGAGCAGGTGGGGTTGTTTAGTGGCTGTAGGAGATATGGGGGTCCTTCGTGTACCCACCCCACCTGGGGGGTCACCTTGTAGAACATGCAGTGCGGAATAAGGTGGAAGTTAGGGTCAGGCACCTGCAGCCCATTCCCTCCCAGCACAGTGCCCACCGTCTGGCCATGTCCACACAGCCCAACTCAGGATGACCCAGGACCTTGGCCTCCCCCAGGCCCAAGTGAAGCCTGCAGGGTGGGTGGACACAGCCTCCAGGAGCTACCCTGGATGTGTGCCCTCACCCGTGACCGCCATGCACCGCTAACCTCTAGGAAGAGACTTACTTCTGAGCTCTGGTAGGACCCGGCAGAGAAGAGAGAAATCACAAGGCAGTTTTAATCTCCGTGCAGCTGGGTGGCATATGCCCGGCCCCACCCGCCTCCCGAGTGTGTGGCCCCAGGGTCAGGCTGGCAACAGCTGCTGCCCTTGCTCTGGGAAGTAGCCCAGCCCCTGAGGAGGTAGTGCCAGCCCCTTGGGGACACTTCTACCTTCCGTCCTCTTCCTCTGGCAATGATCACCCAGTGAAAGCAGCTGCCCTCAGCTCTGCGGCCTCACTGTATGCCATCCTGTGCCAGGCACCTGGCCCTGGTGGCGGCATTTAGTCCAGAAAACTGCCTGTGCTGTTTTCCCAGGTGGAAACTGAGGCTCAGACCATTCCTGTAGGACTCTCTTCCTCGTTACTGCAAACCTAATCCCAGCATGTCCACATGGGATAGATGCTTAGGAGGCCCCTTGGGGGGCCCACCCTTGCTGGCAGGAGGACCCAGCCCTTGGTCTGGGGAAATAGAGGTAGATACAAACACCCCCAGCTCTGGAGGTTTGGGGGTGCCTTGGACAGGAAGCAGAGGCTCGCTGAAGAGCCCTAACCTGCTTTCCCCAGGGAAGTCATTCCTGGCTTTTCTAGAACCTCCCTGTTATGGGTTGAATAGTGTTCCTCAAAAAGAAATACATCCCAACCCCCAGGACCTCAGAATATAACCTCATTTGCAAATAGGGTCTTTGCATATTTAACCAAGTTAAGCTTAGGTCCTCAGGGAGGGCCCTACTCCAATGTGACTGGTGCCCTGATAAAACGGAAATTTGGACACGGACATTCACAGAAGTAGGGCGACGTGACCTCACAGAGGCAGGATGATGTGAAGACAGGGAGAATGTCAGGAAAGACAGAGGATCAGGATGATGCATCTACAAGCCAGGCTTGAGGCTGCCGGAGGCTAGGGGGAAGCCTGCACAGGTCCTCTCTGGTGCCTGCAGACCCTGCCTACTACCTCAATTTCAGACTCTGGCCTCTGGAACGGTGAAATCGTACATTCTGTTGTTTTAACCCCCCCCCCGTCCTTTGTTTCAGCAGTCCCAGGGAGCACATACACTCCCCAAAGCCACGCTGTGCTCCTCAATCTGGCATCTCCATTTCTTCCTTTTCACTGGCTGCTCACACATAGCTTCCACCACGGGGACTCTTCAGCTCAAGAACATGACGTGGCTCCCTCCTGCCTGCAGATGAGACCTCTAGTCTCCCCGACACTGTGCTCATCCCCACCTCCCTGCCTTTGCCCAGGTTGTGGACACTCCTTGGTATGCCTGCCCACCTCTCGGTTTCTTACCCATCCCATCCACCCTTTAGGCCCTAGTTCACACTTGCTTGATTTCATCAGCTGTTCTTACAGGGCCACTTTTTTTTGAGGGGTACAGGGGGACCTAAGGGTGACTGAGACAGTCCCACTGCAGGACAAAGGGACACAGGTAAATGATAGAGCAGGTGCCTTCTCTCCAGACTTGGCTTTTCTCAATTCCCACTATCCCCGCTTACCCCAAAGAACCTTTTGGAACATTCCTTGGGGCAAGGTCCTAGCAGGGCCATATCTGTGTCCCCCATGCCTGGTGTACCAGCTGGTGTAGGAAATGCTCATGCGGTGACCAAATGAACATATCATGGGTGGTTATAACAAGGACACCAGGTTCCATATTGAGAAAATACTGTGGCAGGCGGGCACAGGTAAGTCATCTGGTCACCCCAATTGTGTTTGACTGACAACCCATTCCTGAGAAGAGACACATTACCATCATCTCCACTTTATAAAATGAAGCTTGAAGTGGCACTGTCACTTTCCAAAGCCCCACAGTTAGGTGGCAGAGACCAGACTGGGACCCAGTGGTCAGTTAACAACTGCAGAAGGGTCAATAATGTGGGATCCCTGTCCTCAAGGGCCTTGGGGTCTTGTGACGAAGTAGGACTAACACCTAAGCACAGTAAAGTCGAGTAAGTGGGGTACCAGCCCCTCTCCCTGCTTTTTAGGCAACGTCAAAGCAGAGGCAGGAGGCAGGGATTGGAGGAATGCATTCATTACCAAGCACTTGTCTGTGCCAGGAACTATGCCAGCTATTTCTGCACATAATCCCATTCAGGCCTTTCCAAAATCCTGTGAGGTATGGGCTGTTATCATGAGAAATCAATACCATTATAACAGTAAACACCGTAAACATAAATGGACTAGACTATCTAGTTAAAGACAAGTAGGTGTACAATAAACACAGTAGGTGTAAATGGACTAAAGTCTAGCTGAAACACAAGGACAGTAAAAGGTACAAGGAAACACTTAAGGTGATGATCTGCTTGTTATCTTGACTGTGGTGATAGTTTCAAGGGTATTTACATATGTTAACACTGATCAAACTGCATGTTAAATAAAAGGTACAAGGAAACACTTAAGGTGATGATCTGCTTGTTATCTTGACTGTGGTGATAGTTTCAAGGGTATTTACATATGTTAACACTGATCAAACTGCATGTTAAATAGGTGGGCCTGACTGTATGTTGACCATACCTCAACAAAGCTGTTTTTTAAAGAGGCAAAAATGATTAAATAGGATTAAAAAGTTATAAAGTCCAGCTGGCTGAGCTTCGTCTCCCATGACCTGGTCTCCCCATGCTCATATTCTTTTACCTTCTGGCACCCCAGAAACCAGGCTGCCCCGGTCCCATCCTGGGCTCTCTCCCTACCCAGCCTCCCCACTCCACCACTCACACTGGGGTTCTCGGTGCCGCCTCTCATCGGCGCCCAAGCTGACTCATCGGTCAGTTCCCCATGGCTGACCTGGTACCTGTCCTGCTGTACTAGTTCAGACCTTAACACTATTTGCCTCACTCTCTGGCTCACTGGTCCCTGAATCTGGCCTGGCGGCTTTTGAGGTAGGGGTGTCCCTGTGACTTATTTAGGGGAATCTAGTTGTGAATGAGGTTTCCCATGCTGAGAGACAGGAACCCGTGGGCTCATTCTGAAAACTGCCTAAAAATGTTTTTATTATTTTTAAATCGGGTATCACATGATTCAATTGTAATTTATATTTGAGTGCCCCACACCACAAAATACAGAGCTATTTAAATTCTAGACTTAAATCCATTCTATATCCCATCCATCCTCTATGTGGCTATAGGGCACTTGACATGTGGCTGATCTGAATAAAAACAGGCTATAAATGTAAAATATACAATGGACTTTGAAGACACACAAAAACTTCTAAAATATCTCAATGATTTTTTATATCAATCCATGTTAAAATGATATTTTAGATATATTAAATAAATATATTAAAATTTATTTCACTTGTTACCTTTTTCTTTTTTTTTAATGTGGCTACTATGAAATTTAAAATGATATATGTGGCTCACATGGTATTTCTAGTGGACAGTGATCGATATATTATAGCCAGTGGGCCAAATGTGGCCAGCTGCCTTTTTGAAAAACAACATTTATGTTTTTTGCGGCACCCATTCATCTCACTGCCTTCCAAATATAACGGCAGAGTAGAGTTGTTATGACAGAGACTGTCTGGGCTACAAAGCCTGTAATATTTAGTATCTGGCCCTTTACAGGAATGGTTTGCAACTCTGGATGCACAAGGTCTCCCCTGAGGAACTGAAACTTAAGCCCAAGCTGCATCCCATACTTACGGTAACTGGCTTTGGGTGCAGCCTGTGGGATTTTAAAAGTCCCTTGGGTGACTCCAATGAGCAGCCAAGGTGAGAACTGCTTGACTAAGTAATTCTCAAGACAAAGAGACAACAGTGGAAAGAAAGCAATTTCTAATTACCCCACCTGATCACTTCAATCAGGCCACAAATTTAATTCTGAGCTTCCTGGCAGCCAAAGCAAAGAAAAGGAATTTCTTCAATGTCTAAGGTGTAAAATCATATTCCAGAGAATAAAATAGGCTTCCTGCCATTTCTGTTGGGTGGATGGCATGACCGATCAAACCTGATTGCCCTGGACATGTGTTGGGCCTGTAACCTGCTTCCCCCTGATCATCCCACCATCTTACCCAGCACAAAAGCTGCAGCCCCCAACCAACTGACCGCCTGGTATGGGAGGAGCTGTGACAAGGCCATGCTGAGCTGCCTGGCCTGACCCACAGCTTCCTCCTGGAGGCCAAGGCTTCCTCCAAGCCAGGTAGACACAGAAACACAAGCGGGAAAGGTACTGGACTTACTGATGGATGGCTTGGAGGAACTTACGCTGGTGTTTCCGAACCCGGGTGTGGTCTGGCTTCTTCACCAGCCTGGTATGTTTGTAAATGAGCCACGTCTCCCTGAGAACGTTAGCAGCGGCATTTTTCACCTGGAGCCAGAGAAAGAAAAATTCCTCAAGGTGGGCACAAAAGCACAGAATGCTCTGGAAACTTCCAGAAACTCTTGGAACTGCCCCTTTGAGGTCCTAGAACTGTAAGACAGGGCCATGTTTATATTATGTCTACAGCTGTGCTCTATGTGTGTGTACCTAACACACAACACTCACCAGGAGTCAGACCCTTTCTATACACCTTGCAAATGTTAATTTGGTGAATCCCCCTCCTTTAATAGGTGGGAAAACTGAGGACCAGAGAGGCCAACCTGCCAAGGTCAGATAGCTTATAATTGCACCTGGTTGCTTAGCCCCAGAATCCCTACCTCTTGCTGTGTTCCCATGGCTGGGCTGTGACTAGGCATTGCCACATTGCTCTGTGCGCAGCTCATAGGTGTAGGTATCACTGCAGAGCCCTGGACAGTCTTCTACACAGAGTGCAGTAGAGTGATCTGTGGGCACATGTGTATGCCTGGCTTGTGCAGAAGTAAGGTGGGGAAGGCCCTTGACAACCAGAAGGGGAGATGGCTGTGATGGGGGCTGGAGTCCTTACCCGCTTGGTGAGCTGGGTGTCCATCATGAAGTTGTGCACGTGTTTTTCTGCTTTGGTGAGCTCCAGTTTCCGGGCCACCACGGCTACCACAAGCGCGGTGCAGCCGGCCCCCTGCAGGTGGAGAGGTGGGGGACATGTCAGTGTCCGCCTCATGTGGATCCCAGCCGTGGGAGGACACAAACCCTTCTCCAGGAAGCCCACCCTGATTCCACCCTTGCCTTTACGCATCTGACTCCTGATCTTACTTGCTTAATGTCTGTCAAACGTCTGGGGATGCATGTGTCATGGATTAGCTCATTCACTCCCCAACAAGCCTGGGAGGTAGAACTCTCATCCACATTAAGCAAAGGGGGAAACAGACTTGGAGATAAGAAAGGAACAATGTACAGGGAGGGTCTGCAGGTACATTCGGGACCAATGACCATGGAGGTGGATTTGCAAGGACTTCTGTCAAGGCTTTGGGTTCTGGGTGTTGGGAACAGAGACCTGGCTGACATGTTGCTGAGCAGTAATGGGGGGCCAGCTGGCTGGGTGACAAGGATGGCGTGAGGGTGGGTTGGGCTGACTGCCTGAAGTGAGGCATTTGCAGGGAGGCAGAAGCCAAGTGTAGGTCCCAGGACGTGGGGAAGTGGAAGCGAGGCCTCCCCTGTGATGGGGGCGGGCCCGTGGTGGGGGGCAGGCAGCCAGAGGGATGTAAGGGGGAGGGTGGGGGTAGGTCTTTCTACCAAGAAGGGGAGCCTGGGAGTCCAGGACATTCATAAGGTGTCATCCGCCCCAGGAGTGGCCAGGAGGCAGGTGGCAGGGGCAGGAGAGGGGGGCCAGCAGTTGGCTCCCCACCCCTGCGTGCTAGAGGCTACCCTGGCGCCTCCCTGCCAGCTGCCTCCCCTAAGGCTACTGCAGACAAGGCGGAAGGAGGGAAAGGTGTGGGCTCGGCCCCTGGAGGGCCTGAGTGGTTCAGTTTTTCTTAGGGATGGTAGGAAACATTTATGGTGGGCAAGAGCAGGAGTTCTGCAGCCTGGTGTTCTGCCCAGCCTGGGGGTGTGGGGGATGGGCACAAAAGAGCCGCGAGGAAACCCTGTCGTGGGTTCTTGGCCAGGACAAAGTTCTTGGAAGGACATGGGAGAGCACTGTCAGGAAAAGCCGTGTTGACAGGGCAAACAAAATGCTGGCAATGTCCACATGGAATAGCACGCAGCACGGAAAAGGGTGTCTGACACTGTGTCTTAGACTTTCTGGGTTTTACTTAGACTTATCTGAGTGTGTTTCTTTGTTTATGTGTGAAGTTTATTTGCTTGGTACAGAGATGGGGCACGGCTGATTTTTACCCCGCCCCTCTGGCAAAAACGAAGTAAGCAAATATGTGTGATGCCATTCAACAAGAGGGGCTGTGTCGGCCTGGCCAGGGGAAGGGGGGCCCTGCTGGGGACAGGATGAGGGCGTGGACCCCCAGCTGGTGTCCAAACAGGAGGGGATAAGAGGCAAAGAGGGATCAGAGCCACGGGCCTTGGGAAATGGCGAGTGTGCACCCAGTGAGGGGGGCTGGGCTGCACCACAGCAAGATGTCCCCTTCCTCTGCAGGAGGAAGGGAAATGGTGGTGGGGACGGCATCATACTTTTGCAAGAGGAAACATGTCTCTGTGACAGGGAAAGGGCGTAGTCTGGGGTGGCCCCTGGGGTGGGGTCAGGTCGGCTTCTTTTGCCTGGTGATACTCACCAGTTTTTCACAAATGGACGTGTTATTGATTGGGGTGCGGGGGGCACTGGTGAAGAGGACATGCAGTGGACAATATCCTCCCATGCAGTGGACAGTTCATAATGCAAAACACGGCCAAGTGTTTGTGGAGGAGGTGAAAGCAGCTTGGAGAGTCAGAAGTTACTACGAGGCAGGGAACCTGATGATAGAATCAGGGAGAAGGCACCAGGCATCGAGGCTGCCCACCCTCGGGGGTTGGAGATAAGGAGGGTGGCGGAAGGGCGGGCCCACAGGAAGAGGAAATGTGAGGCCTCGTGATGGAGTGAGCTCCCCATGCTCAGGGGTATGAGAGGTCCTGGCCCATACCATGATGCCGGTGAGCAGGCACACGCCCTTCCCGCAGTAAGTGTGGGGCACCATGTCACCGTAGCCGATGGAGAGGAAGGTGATGGAGATAAGCCACATGGCTCCCAAAAAGTTACTGGTCACTTCCTGCTTGTCATGGTACCTGGGGGAAGCCAGGGAGGGCCTGGTCAGTCCACACGGACCCCTCTGTCCCCATCACACTCTTGGGACAGTGCCAGGGTGGCAGAGCCCTGGCTCTGCCCTGCACGGCGGCCTTGGCTGCAGAGAGCTGATCACTCAGGGGCTCAAAGTGATACAAGTGCCCCCCCAGAGCGGGTGGGGGTGGTTAGTGTCCTCCCGAGGGCACCATGGGGTAAAGGGCACCCACCCCCCACCCTCCAGCATCCCTTCCAACCTTCTTCCTTTGCCCGACCCCCAAGCTGCTGCTCGGGATGTCTGCCCTCCCTGGTGATGAGGCAGAGGGGACCAGGTGAGGGTGCGCCCATGTGTGCCCAGGTGTGCACACGATCCCCCTCCCAAAGATACACACAGAGACAGATGCGGACATGGGCAGCCACGGGTGCCAGAAGCAGCAGGGAGTGGAGGTGAGGATTCAGGTCAGACACCAGGAAGAACTTCCCCAGCCCGTGAGGCCCCGAGGAGGTCGGACAACTGGAGGAGACAGGAGCTGGAGGAGGATATCCCAGGACTCGGGAGATGACAGACCAATATGTGGAGGTCAGCACTGGGCCTGGGGTTTGTCTGCAGGGTGGGGAGGAAGAGGGTAGCTTGCCTGGTACTGGGGTGAGGCCTGGGGCTACACTTTTGGTATGGGGGAGACAGACCCAAAGGCCTTGCAAAGGACATGATTTTGTCCCCATCACAGGCAGGCCTGGGAACCCAGCCACACGGGCGGCAGAGAGGTTCTATCTATGGCCAACCCAGGCTAGGGGGCCGAGGAGTCAGTTCTCCAGTTCTGGGAGCGCCTTGAATTTCTTTTCCAGCCCAGCCAACAGCCTGCAAAGCCCCTCCAGCTTGGGCAGCCTAGGGGCTCCTTCTTGCTGACACACTCCTTCGCAGACCTCGGGCCCTGGGGGGTTCAAGAAAGTTTGCGGTCCACTGGGGAGGCACAGAGGCAGGGCAGCTGGTAGGGGGTGGCCTGCAGGTGGGGGCGGGGAGAGGGTTGTTGCAGGCAGATGGGGCTGGGGTCAAGGGCTCTGGGGCAGGGGGGATGGAAGCTTTAAGGCAGCGTGAAAGGGACGGAGGTCTGGTGTTTGGGGGCCCCTGCACCCTTGGGAGTTGGATGCCATCCCAGGCCCATCCAGCCTGGGCTCACAGGCTGCTGGCTGGGCGAGGGGGACCAGGGACTGAGCCTTGCCTTTCCCCAAAGTACCTGAGCCCCAAGGATCTGAGGACCTCCACCTCTCAGGAGACCAGCCCCCTACATACAGGAGGCAGGAGGAGGGGGGTCCCCCAGCAGTGGGCCAAGGAGCCCAGGCCCGGCTAGAGCGATGGTAGGTGCCATGGGCCCACCCAGGATCGGGAAGTGGGGAGCATGCGGGAGGTGGGATGGGGTGGGACAGAGCCACAGGGCGGAGCGAGGCAGGTGAGGGGGCTTCAAGCAGCATCACAGGGCCCAGAATTTAGGATTGGCTGCCCCCTGGCCCTGCCCCATTCCTTACCCCCACCCAGGGACCCCTAAAATGACCCTGACTGGACCTCAGCATGCCTAGGAATCCCTCTCCAGGGACCCCAGTCCTGAGCCCACCCCAATGGGGTGGGGGATGGGAACTGGCATGGGGGCACATCAGGGGTCCAGGAGACCCCATGGGACACCCAGACGATAAGCCTTGGCAGCAGGAAAGCTGGAACTTTACCCCCACATCAAGCTGAGGCAGGAGTTGTTGGTAAAGAGGGGGTGAGAACTGGGGGTGGCGGGTCCAACCCCAGGGACCCCCTAGGAAGCCTGGTCCCACGGACCCCTCCAGGGCCTTCTCCAGCTAGGCACAAGGCAGGAGAGACCCCCTTCCCCAGACAAGGCACGCCTGCCCCTTGAGAGGCCCAGCAGGGCCCCTCCTCCCCTGGAGCCCCCCAGGGTCCCTGGAGATGACCAGGAATTGGGCCCTTGGGACTGTCCCTTGCTCCTCAGTTTCCTTTCCTGTAAGTTAGGTTGACAACCTGCCACCCTTACAACACTGTTCAGATAAAACCGTGTGCAGGGTCCTAAAGGCTGGGCCAGTTTTCACTCACCTCAGGCTCTTAACTCTCCAGAGACGCCTGAACCCCCAGGCTCAGCTGCCTGAAGGAGATGCAAGAGCCAAGCCCTTTTTCCTCCTGCCACCTTGGAGATAAGGAGCCCCAGTGGACACAGCCCAAGAGTGGCCAGCCTCCCCTTATCCTGGGCCCGACTCCAACCTGCCTGGCCAGGCCCTGCTGGGGTGGCCTCTCCCGATGGCTTGCAGGCTCTGGCCAGGTCCTGGCCACCCCTCCCCTTCACACACACACACCCCTTTCAGGCAGCTAATCTTAAATTCCTGGGGGCTGGGATGGCGGCAGCTCTGTGCACAAGGCTCGGCTGAGGGTAGGACTCACATGTTTTCCCTACAGTCCAGCGGGGCGGGCAGAAGGGAGAAGGAGAGCAGGTTAAATCGTTGGGGAGACAGGCAGATGGGGGTGTCCCTGTTCCTGCTGCCTCCATCACCCTGGCCCATGGGTCAGAGGTTGGCTGCCCACAGTGGAGGGACGTGGGCAGAAGAAGAACATCAGACCCCCCTGGAGAGGAGGAGGGGAAAGAGGGCTGGGGTCCTGGAGGGGTGCAGGTTTGGGGTGGCTGGGGACACCACGGCCAGAGGCCCAGGGACCAGGGGGCTGTGAGGGGCGGTCACTGAGGGGGGCACCTCAGGGGTCAGGGCCATGGCACTGATGGCAAGGTGAGCCCTGGGTCCCTAAAGTCACGGGGGCCATGGGGTCCCCGGGGTCAGGGGCCTGGGGGCCAATCACACCTCTCACAGACACGCACGGTCCAGGCGGCGATGATCCAGGAGGAGAGGCTGAACACGAGCAGCACGGTGCCGGGGCAGATGGTCATCAGCGTCTTCATGACGAAGCGCGTGTTGAAGGTGATCTTGTTGAGCGCACCGATGCTGCGGCTGGAGGCGTCCGTGAAGATCTTGCTGTGCAGCAGCATGACGCGGCCCAGCAGGTAGAGGCGCAGGAACATGGGGACGGACAGCAGCACGTCCACGTCTGCCTCGGCCGCCGACGGCGCATATGTGAAGGCCAGCCGCGCCGTCCATGTGAAGCGGTAGTGGCCTGGCACCGGGTGGATGGCACACACGGCCAGCTCCAGGGAGATGAGGAAGACACGCTCGCGGGTCATAGCGATGCGCCAGTCATCTGCCCCATTGTCCACCATGAAAAGCTGCAGAGGGCGGGGGGCAGTGGGTCTCGGACATGCACCCAGGTACCCCCAGGGAGGCCCCAGGCCTGAGACCCCACTGGCTCGGCTTTGAGGAGAAACATGGCCTCCTACGTGAGACTCCGTCACTGTAAGCGTTGGCCACAATTCAAACTAAACATGGCACAGTTGTTCCCCCAAAACTTAAACGCGGACCTACCAATACCCCAGCGGCCAGGCTCCTGGGAATATACACAAGAGACATGAAAACAGGCATTTGAGCAAATCCTTGTATGCACATGATCACAGCAGCACCGCTCATAATTGCCAAAAGCAGAAACAATGTCCATTAATAGATGAATGAATGAACAAAATGTGGTCGTCCACACGATAAAACATGACTGGGCCAGAAAGGGGAATAAAGCTCCAAATCACGCTACAATGTGAATGAACCTCAAAAACATTGCACTGAGTGAAAGAAGCCAGTCACAAAAGGCCACCACTCAGAGCTGAGGGGGCAATGCTGCCACCCCAGTGGGGGCCTGCAGGTAGAGCATGGAGTCACAGATTATTCTCAAGCCTTCAAATCTGATGGATTTGCCTGCTTAGCTCTTAGACTTGCTTAGGACCTGTCACTCCTCTCTTCTTTGGGATTTCTCCCTGTTGGGATGGGAATGTCTAGCCTATGCCTGCCCCGCCACTGTCATTTGGAAGAACGGGGACCTGTCCTGTTCACAGCTGGAGAGGAATTTTGCCTGGGTCTCACTCATATCTGATTTAGACGGTACAGGCATACCCGGGAGATTTTGCGGGTTCACTTCCAGGCCACCGCTATAAAGTGAGTATCACAAGCAAGTTGAATGAATTTTCTGGTTTCCCAGTGCGTATTCATGTCTGCACTATACTGCAGTCAATTAAATGTGCAATAGCATTATGTCTAAAAGAAAAAAAAAACAAGGTACATATCTTAATTATAAAATACTTTGTTGCTGAAAAATGCTAGCCATTATTTAAGCCCTCAGCCAGTAGTAATCACTGATCACAGATTACCCTTAAGTATAATGACAAAAAAGTTTGGAATACTGTGAGAATTACCAAAAAGGAACACAGAGACACCAAGAAAGCAAGTGCTGTGGGGAAAAATGGTGCAGTCAGACTTGCTTGATACAGGGTTGCCCCAGATCTCCCATTTGTAAAAAATGAGATACCTGCGAAGCACAATAATGCAAAAATCAATAAAATGAGGTGTGCCTATACCCTAGTGAGACTCTGCACGTCCAGCTGATGCTGGAGTGGTTTAAAAATTTTGGAGCTATTTGGATAGGGTGAAGGTGTTTTGCAGGGGAGAGAGATATGACTTTGGGAACCAGGCCAGACGGTAGATCGTTATGGACTGACTGACATCCCCTTACCATTCATAAAGCCTCCAATACAGGCCTCACTGATTGTATTTGGTAAAAGGGCCTTTACAGAGGTAATTAAGGTTAAATGAAGTCCTAAGGGTGGGGCCCTAATCCTAGAGGACTGGTGTCCTTCTGAGAAGTGGAAGAAAACACTAAAGATGTATAAACACAGAGAAAAGGCCACCTGAGGACACAGCGAGAGAGGCGTGTCTGCAGGCCACAGAGAGAGGCATCAGGAGAAACTGGATTTTGGATATTGGATTTCCAGCCTTCAGAACTGTGGGACAATACATTTCCGTTGTTTAAGCCACTCCGTTGTTGTGGTACTTTGTTAGGGCGACCCAAATAAAACTCACACAGGGCTTCATTCTTTCTTTTCATGGCTAAATATTCCACTGCATGACCACGTTTAGTTTATTCATACAGCAGCTGATGGACACTCGGTTGTTTCCACTTTCTGGCTATTGTGAATTGGGCTGCTATGAACATACCTGTCCATGTTTTTGTGTGGATGTAGGTTGTCATTTCTCTTGGGTCTATACCTAGGAGTGGAATCATAGGATCAGAGGGTAACTGAGTTTAACTTAGAAACCACCAGATATTGTCCCTAGCAGCTGTCCCTTAAGAACTGCTTCCTTCCAGCTCAGATGCTACTGTACCCCTCTCCACAGCGGCCACATCTAGGACCCCAGGTGCCCCCACGGAAGTCTACACATAGTGCAGTCCAGGCAGGTTTTCCTATGCCCATCTCTCACCAGACTGTGGCTCCTTGAGGTCAGGGGTCAGAGGTGAGAGTCAGGAGTCAGATCTCGACACCCCTTGGCATCCGTGGGCCCTGGGGCTTGCCCCAGGTGACATCTGCTCACTGTGGGCACATGTGCCGGACAAGCCCTGAGATAAGCTCTCTGGGGTCTGACCAGAGATTGTGATTAACCCCAGAAATAGGAGAACAAGCCACCTGGTAATGTAATAGCATTTCAAATGCAGAGCCCAGTCGAGTGAGGGAAGGGGCCTGGTGCCTACCAGCACTGACTTCCACAGCTGCGAGACCTCTGGAGACCCCAGGGCCTGAAAAATCGTCCCTGTTTACCAGACCCCAGCTCACCTCCTACTCCTGCACCACCCATTTCTTCTGCAAGTAATCAATGAAAATTAAAGCACAGATAAACGTTCCAAGGAAATTTAGAGTGATCCGCACAGTGTGTCTTCACTGAGGTGGTTTTTTTCTGTAACGAGTCTATTGATCTTTTTATGTTTTAGGGGGCTGGGGCCACAGGCGGCTGGTGTAGGGGGCTGTGGGGTGTGGGGAGGGGAGCTGCCCTGGTCCAGCCGGGCACTGACCTGGATCTCCCTGGCGTGGTAGAGGACCACCAGGCCCAGCAGGATGACCGTGGAGAGGCTGATGAGGCATTTAAGGGCAAACGAGTACAGGGACCCCTGGGCAGAGAGAGAGCAGAAGGCAGCATGGTGGGGGCTGCGGCGCTCCCGATCCCCTACCTGCATTCCGGTGCTGCCCTCAGGAAGGGTGCTCCTGTCCTTGCTCCTTGGGCCTGGACTGGCACCACTCCACAGTTATTAAGTCCGGCCCTCACATGGGCACAGCACTTCCCAGTTCACAGGGCCGGGCCTCATCCAGGCTCACCACCTCACAGTTTACAGCCTGACATGGCCCTTATCTCTCTCTGTCCTCACAAACCCTTGGGGAGCAGAGGGGACCCCCAGGCAGGCTGTAACCCAGCCCTGCCCACTCTAAAATGGTGGGGAAACTCTTTTGCTCCCTACTAGGCTTTCTCCAAGACTCCCTGACCCTGGGCCTGTCCTGCACACAGACGCCTTCCCCACTTTAAGCCAGGGTGCGGCCCTTTGGTGCTGGGCAGAGGGAATGGGACGGGGTCTTCCACCCCGGTCTGCAGCCTCCCTGCCCCCAGGGGTCCCCACAGCATCCCCCACCTGACTCTCCTGGGTCTGATGTCCCTGACCCCATGCCCAAGGGACAGCGGGGAGCTAGGCAGGCTGGGCGGGGGCCTACCTTGGTGTAGACCCCCCAGGACAGCTCCGTCTCGGTCACCATGACAACAATACCAAACATGCCGAAGATGAGTGCATAGTCGCTGAGGCGTTTCCGCTTCTCAAAGAGTGCCCGCCGGTGACCCAGGCGGTGGCCCACATTCGGAGGCTTCCCTGAGCCCCTCTGCCTCCCTGCCTCGTCCTCTTCGTCATCTTCCTCCTCTTCCTGGTCCTGAGGCTGCCCCTGGGGACTACCAGGTGAGCGCCTGGCCTGCTCGCTCTTAGCCACCACCACCTGGAGGCCCGGGCCATGCAGGAGCTGTGGGGGGCGGCCAGCCTCGGGGTCTGGAGGGTCTCGGCCCAGAGCACCCAGCCCGCTGCCCAGTGGCTGCCCCCTGCAGCCACTGCGGCTGTGGCTGTTCATGACTATGTGGGTGCTGGGCTTCGGCTTGTTGCAGGCCACCAGGGGCCTGGCATGGCTCAGTGGCTGGGTTCCAGTGCTGACCTGAATGGGCAGAGGGGACATGGTCATGGCCGGACCGGACCAGAAGGCCAGGGACCACTGTCACCACCGCAAAACATTCTGTCTCAGAAAGCCTTGACTGTAGAGCGGCTGACATGGGTTGGCCAGTCCAGAAACATTCAAGTCAGCTATGTCCCTCCTCTGCTCAAAACTCTCCCATTGCAGAAAAACCAAATTTCTCACCATGGCCAGGAGGCCCTGTGATCTGGCTCCCACCCATCTCATCCTTCTTTTTCTCAGCAGAGTCAAATCCTTCTAGCCAACTGGCTCCTTATCACCAGATACTGATAAGCTTGGTCTCGCCCTGGGACCTTTGCGTGCTGTTTCCTCTGCCTGGAACACTCTCCTACAAGACCTCTACCATCTGACGCTCTGTGCCTCCAAGTACCTAGAACAATGCCTGGCACACAGCCAACACTCAGTAAACACTTCTCAATGCCTTGAGATGGAATTTGACAACAGATTTTCCCCGGAGGGCCAGACACTATCTAAGTATCCACTCAGAGGTGGTTACAATTGGCACTCCTTCTAACCTTCAGGCTGTTAGATAATATCATCTCGCTCTACTCGGCCTCCAGTCCTCCTACAAAGTTGTTCAGAGGCCTGGTAAGGCTGGGAGGATGTCAGGAACTGTGGCTGCGGCTGCAGAGACCCTCAGCAACCTCCTGCCTGGGTGGAGGGAGGGCCGTGACCTTCAGATTCCAGGACCAGCATGGCAATCTGCAATTTAACTCTAAGACCCCAGAATTCATTCTTAGGGCCTTGTGAGCCCGGCCCTCTGACCTCAGCCTAGCCCGTTTCCCCACCAGGTTACCAAGGAGCAGACTGTCAGACCACTCTGACAGCCTTAGTTCTGCCCCTGCACAGGACAGTGTCCCCACGGCATCACATGCAAGAGCAAGGACCCTGGTGGCGGTGACAGGCACAGGAGGAGGCTGCCTGGAGTCTGGTCTCCTGGGTCCCAACTTGCCAGGACCTCTCCCACCCCAACCCTGCCCACTCTCTCATCCTCTCCAGCATGTCCCCTCTGCTGTCACCACACCTGACACTTATTGAACATCTGTTGTGTGTCAAGCTTCATCCCTCACACAGATTTTCTCTTTAATCCTCACAATTCCCCCAGGAAGGGGATCCTGAGATTTGGCCGGTTTTAAGGAAGTGGAATCTCCTTATAGGACAGATTTGGGACTGGGCTGCTTTGTGAGATTTTCCCAACCAGCCAGGCAATGGTGGGCAGTGAGCCAAGTGTGTCCCCTTTGAAAAGGCCAAGCTGGCATGCATTGGGGGACCTGCGAGAGGGGGCTGTACGCACAGACAGGATGCCCCCACCCCCAGTCTTGAAACTACGTTCTGAGGGTGACAAATGGGGAAACTGTCATTTCAGGACATGCCAAGATGAGTCATGCTCCCAGGCAGGACCTGGGTCACCACGGCATGCATCGCAGGACCGCCTGTGCCCCTGCCTGGCACCCCCCAACCAGTGTCTGTCCCATACATGTCCCTAGAGGCTGGCGCCAGCATACAGTAGGAGCACAGGAAACATTCCTTCCATGGCTGAGTTACCTAATGAGCCTCAGAACATGGCATCACCCTTGCCACTCCCGTCATATCAGCTGGGCTGTGGCCACCTGTGGCCTGGAGCTTCACAGTTTATAAGGCCTGATGTCCTGCAGACTCAGCACTTCAGTTTATAAGGCTGACCTTGGCCTTGATCTTTCTGTCCTCACACTCAGGTGCCACTCTCCTTCTGGTCTAGAACCCCTGCCTGCCACCTGAAGGGGCATCAGCTGCTAGGAGGGGATGGGATACACAGTGTATGCACAGTGGCCCCCAGACCCCACCCTTGCCTGGGAGATGAGGAAACCCCAGGCACCTTCTGAAAGCAAAGAAGGTTCCCCCAGCCAGGGCTTAGGGCACAGGCAGGAGAGGCGGGTGGCCTGGCAAACAGGACCTGGAACGGGGTGGGGGCGTTTGGATGGCAAACGACCTTCCAAAATGCATAGATGAAGATGCAATTTGGGGATGTGACTCAGCCGCCCGACGCATAGGCCAAAATCAGCTCTGTGATCGCCATGCTCTTCTTTGCCTGGCAGCCCTGTCCTAAGGTGCCCTGGGCAGGAGGAAGGTGGGGGAAGGTGGGTACAGGCAGCAGGTGGCTCCTGGGTGGGCAGGGGTGGTGGTGGTGGTGGTGTGGGACTTCCTGGTGACAGCTTATTGTAGACAGAGCCCTTATCAGAATGATGGAATTTAATTCCTATTGCTGCTCAGCGAGGTGGGTGGCATTCCTCCTCCCATTTTACAGATGGGAGACAGAGCTCAGAGAGGTTTGCCATTTTGCCCAAGGTCACCCAGCCAGGAAGGGCAGGGACTAAGTGAGTGCCATGGGGGAGCCGGTGGCAGTGGGTGGCAGGATGTGTCCGGCTCCCTCTTGATGAGCTGCCATCTGGAAAGGGTGTCAGTCTGGCTCTGCCCTTGAGGGGACACAGGCATGGTGGCTGCCTGACCCTTCCTGTGACCTCAAAGGAAATGGAAGGATAGAACGGGCTGCCCGAGTTTCCACAGGAAAAGGGGGCAGTCTGCTTCTATAGGCTGGGTGGGAGCAGAGAGCCCTGGGGACAAGAAACCCCATCCCTTCCTAGGCCCACCTTCCCCTCCCCAGCTGCAGTCTGGACCTAACACTGCAGCCCTCTGGGACCCTCAGAGATTCCCAGGAGCCAGAAACCTTGGCCAAAGTGTGGATGTCCTTAAAAGGGTGTAAAATTTTCTGGGTGAAGGCCTTGAGTTTGCCAAGGAGTTCCCTAAGAGGTTACAAACACCGTGCAGACTGCGTTTTGGTTTGACGGTCCCTAGATTTGCCAAGCCTGCCTAATGCATCTAGGGCACAAGACCTCTGTTTGCTGAAAGCTGGGTGGGCAGATGAGCAGGGGTCATCTGGGCTCCTCACCACAACCATCCCAAGAGACACTGTGGGAAAGCTGTGAGCCAAGCAGGGCAGGGGGCACCAGGAGTGCTTGAGGAGTGCAGGAAGGTGGGCAGGTGCCACGGAGCAGGGTGGCTCGCAGTGGCTACCTGGAAATGAACTGCAGGTGTTCCAGCCAGGACAAAGTCACAACCCCCTCCTCAGCTGCCTCTTCAGTAAAGGGGTGTCTTGGTGCCCACACAGCAGGACTGGTGGCTAGAATGGAGTGCAATCTCCAGTGGAACATGCTTAGCACACGGTTGTGGGCACGCTGGCTGTGGTGCTACTGCCGCAGACCAGTCTCCTTCAGAGCTGGACCAGGAGAAAGTGTCCCCTGCCCATCCAGGCAAAGCCCCCCTTTGGGGCGAAATGCCCACTCCACCGGTCCCAGGAACCACATCCAGAGCAGCACATGGCAGAACCTTCCAGGGTGTGTGGGAGAGTCATGGGTGTGTGTCCCTGTGGAGAGTGGGAGAAGGACCCCAAAACATCCCCCCTACCAGCACTCTTGGGGTTCTGGCTCTGCAGGGTGCAGAGGACCCACATGTCCTCACACTCCATGGGCTGCCAGGGAGTGGGTACAGAGAAGTGCTGGCTGACTACCCAATTCCCCTGGGGTGTTTCTCCCCCAGCATCACCCATCAGGAACCTGCCAGCAGGCAGCAGGGTGCAATTAGCTTGCCCTGCCCTCCCCAGAGCCACCCATTCTGATCCATCTTTACCTGCATCTGACTGGCCCCCAGCCTCCAGCACTCATATCTGCAGCCCCGCCCTCCAGGACACCCTGGGGCAGTGCTCTGTGAGAGGTACCCCCACCTCCGCCCAGGAAGGTCTGGGATACCCGGCTCCCTGACCCTTGCAGGGGCGACCCTAACTGCTTGATCCAGGGGCCAGTGGGAAGCATCTCCTCCTCCCCTTCCTAGTCAGTCCTGGGTCATTGACTGCACCCTGAGAGCTCCCCCCACCATATCTAGGGAGCTAGGACACTCGCTAATCTGCCCCCCACCCCAAAGTGGACCCATTATCCTCTCTTTCCCGAAGGGGGTCCTTGAAGCTTCACTCATTGCACAAACACAGATTTTACCCCTCCTCGTGTCCCTGGGCTCCGGACCTCAGGGAGACCCTTCTGGCCCCTGGCCCAAACCACGTCTCCCTCTGGGACGTGCCTCCCTCCCAGGGCGCCGCAGCCCATGCCACTCCATACCTGCAGGGCTCGGCTCCGGCGGGCGGACGAGGTTGGAAGGGTGAGGGTCCCGCACCGTCGCAGACCCCCGGGCGGCGGCCGGGGCCGGGCCGGGCAGCAGCCGGCGGGCGCAGAGCCCGGAGGCTGCGGGGCCAGGGGCGGCGGGCGCATCACCCGCCGCCCAGTCCACCCGCCCGGCCTGGGGGGCGCACGCCCGCCCCGGCCAGGAGAGGAGGGGGCGGTGCGACGCGGGTGGTGCCACCGATTGGTCGAGCCCGGGTTGGCACCGCCCTCGGCGACCCCGCAAACCCCGCCTACATTTAAAGATCCCACATTTCCGAGTGCCGCTCTCAGCCCCGGCGTTCAGCTGGCGGGTCCTCAAAGTCGCTCTCTTGCCCCGCGCTATGGAGGGAACCTTCGCGAAGTGACAACTCTCGCCCTCGACAGTCCTCGGGAACTAGCCATCGCCTCCCCCAGATTCGGACCCCAAACTCGTCACCCCTCTACCAGTGCTCGCCTGGGTTCTTTCACGAGCACCTCCCGAGGGAACAATTCTGCAAAGCGACCGGACACCTCCCTCCTAAAATGACCTCTGCAGATGTCTGCTCCCTGTCAGGGAGCCTTGGGGTGGGGAAACAGGTCATTGGCAACTGAAGAGTGTATAGGACAAGGGAGAGTGGGTGCCTGCTGGGGTTATGGTTCAAGGCCATCTTCTCTGGGACAGAGCCTCCACCCCCAGTCCTAACTCAGCACCAGTGCCAAGACGGCAGAACAGCAGGAGCCTGTTTTGGGGGTGTCCAAACCGTGTTCCTTTCCCCTGGTTTCCAGGGTGTCCTTGGACCACTCATTCTTTCAATATTAATAGCAGCTGGGGGTGGCCTTAGGGACCGGGAGGTGGGGAGTCCTTTTCTCCTTCCCCAAACAGCTTCACTACCTTGGCCTCATCTTGTTCCTACCTCGTTGGGGGTAACTGAGTCTGGCTCTGTCCCCCCAGCGTGGGGACCCCGGGGGACAGCAGCTCCCCACATCTCTTTCTCTCTCGCAGCCCCGTTTGTTTCCTTTCCAGCTCTGAGCCTGGGACAGAGTCAGGAACATCTGATTGCTTGGCATTGCCTTAGGGCAGCTGAGGTATTTTGTTTCCTCCACAGAGTCCAGAAATTAGCGACCAAATGAATGAATGAGCGGTGGGCTGCTTGGACGGGGGTGGTCCCATGGGCTGGGGATGGTGGTAAGGCTGAGCAGGGCCAGGTGACAGCCCAGGTTGTCAGAGAGGACTCCTGTTCCTCATACCAGCCTGTCAGGGACACCCTGAGGAAGGCCTGGCCGTGGTGACAGAGGCCTGGGGACCACCCACACCCTGCTGTGTCTACAGGGGTGCCAGGAGTGGGATGGGACCCCCTAAAAGAGTGCCATCTTGGGCCATCCTTCCTGAATCCTCCACCTACTCACGAGCCCCATCCCCAGGCCTTTGCATGTGCTGCTCCCTCACCTGGGCTGCCAGGTACTCTTTCTAAAGCACAGCATTGATGGAACAACCCACATCTTCCCCCTGGATCTGGCACACACATACCTGCACCGCATTCAGTGTCCTGGTCCCCCAAGGCCCAAGCCTGCCCCCATACCAGTCCCTACCCCGGGGAAGCATTCACACTGTGCCCACGAGCTGACCCCAGTTTGCACAGGCCACTGTGGGACTCCTGAAACATCTGATCCTTCCTGAATTCATGTCCAACATGGCAACAGACAGAAATTCACAAAAGCAATGGCCACAGCCCCCAAGGCTCCTCCAGGCCTCCCACCCTGCCCAGACTCTGCAGCCACCTTCTTCCTCTGGAAAGATCTCTGTTTTCCCTTGGGGCTCATCTATCCTGAGGGATCAGAGACCCTCTTCAAGGGGAGCACTCAGGATGAGGGACTTGGTGACTGAGCACCTCCTACCCAGGTCTGCCCAGCTGCCTGCTGGAACCTGTCCTCAGAGACAAGGCTGGCAGTGGTGGCAGTAGGGTGGGGGCTGCTTGAGTCTCCATTCTGGACAGAGCCTCTCCTCAGCCCATGGTTGGCTGGAAGGATCTCTGGGAGCCTGCAAATGAACTTGTCAATTAGGATGCCCCCAGGACTCACACTCCGGGGAAATGGCTTGCAGACTGGGCAGGGGAGGGTGTGCTGGCTTAATAGGAAGCCTTTCCTCCAGGAGACTGGGCTGGACCACACGTCCCAAGCAGTGGCAGAGAATCTGGAAGCTGAACACCTGAGAGAACCTCAAAAAAGCTGAGGGAACCAGAGGCAGCAGCCTGAATGGAGGGGGCCTGACAGCCTGCCCCTGTCCACCAGCTGTGTATCCACAGAAATCTCAGACCCATCCTGGGTCTAGCCCACCCACAGCTACTTGGAAGGAGGCAGGACTCTGAGTCCCCTAGGAGTGTGGGGAAGGTATTCACTTATTCATTCATTCATTCACTCAATATTCACCTAGCAGGGTGGGATGAGTCTAAGGCAAGCAGGGATCCCACGTGCAGGGCTGGATGTGGGAGGACTCTGAACAGAGCAGAAGTCATTGAGGCTTAAGGGTTAAGCCCCTGAGGGTCTGGTAAATTGTTAGGAAGGCCCTGAGGAGCTGGGAAGGCATTCAGATATTTGGAGAGGCTTCCTTCATTCTATCAGCATTTACTGAGTACCTGCTGTAAAGCACAGCTTGTACTTGGAGGTGGGGATACTGTAGTGACAAAGACACAAATTCTCCAAAGTCACAGTTCCAGCAGGCAAGGTAAGATCTTGAGTCAATAAATAGGTACATCTGGCCCTTGAAAACAGTCCACAGAGGAAATGAGGCCAGGGAGGGGTGGGGAAGGGCTGCACCTGGCACACCGGGCACCTGGTCTTCACCATGGGTAGCCCACTGAGCCCTCTGTCACTGCTCTGGAGGAGGAGGTGGGAACCAGGGGTGACAGGCAGGCAGAGAAGCAGTTCTGTTGTGAGCACAGAGTCCCCCACAGAGCAGCTGAGGTCTGGAGCCCCTGCCACACCCAACAGGGTACCTGCCCTGGCACTGTCATATCCATTCAGGTGGCAGTGGCATCCTTAATCCAGACACCAGTGTCCCCTTCCTCCAGACTAACTTTTCCTCCCCAGTGAACCCCACATCCAAAGGGTCTCCAGGCCTGTCCATCCTTGCCCCTAAATTCACTCCAGGCCACCCCTCCTCTGTCCCTGTCTGTGCAGCCCCTGTCTTGGCAAAACTCTGGGGGCAAAGGCTTGACTCTGAAGCACAGCAAAGATCTGCAAAGACCCTATTTGCAAATAAGGTCACATTCTGAGGTTCTACGTAGACTGGAATTTGGCAGGGGGTGGCGGGGGGTGGGGACTGTCCAAACCAGTCCACCCAGGACCTCAGAATGTGACCTTATTTGCAAATTGGGTCTTTGCAGATGGAGTCAAATAAGATGAGGCCATGCTGGTTTACCGTGGGCCCAATCTAACAATTGGTCTTACAATAAGGCCGTGTGAAGACAGAGGCAGCGATTGGAGGGGTGGAGCCATAAGCCAAGGGACCCCTGGAGCCACCCCAGGGGCTGCAAGAGACAAGGACTCTCCCCTAGAGTCTCAGAGGATTTGTGGCCCTGTTCACACCTGGAATTCCTCTGGCTTCCAGAATGGTGAGAGAATACATTTCTGTTGTTTTAAGCCACCCCAGTTGTGGTCATTTGTTAGCGCAGCCCCAGGAAGCTGACACAGTGGTCAGGACAAAGAACTGCCCCTCTCTGAACATCAGCTTCCTCAGCAGGGGAACGAGGGCCCTCCAAGGGCACTGGGAGGGGCTAGGGTGCTAATCCTCATCAAAGATGCCAGGCACAAAGCAAGTGCCCACTGGATGCTCCTAGTTACCACCACCTGGACCATTTCAAAAGCTCCTTCCTGGTCTCTCTGGCTCTAGTCCAGTCGCTGCCAGGCCCTCAGAGGGATCTTTCCTTGCTAAAATATGATCATGTTGCTTCTAATTCTGAGTGCTCAGTGGCTCCCCGCAGCCCTCATGGCATCTGTACAATTAGATCCCAGGCTCGGCTCTAGTGGGTCACCAGCAAGCTCCTACTCACCCTTCCGGACCAAAAGAACACCTGTCCCAGTCCAGCTAACTCTACCCAGATGACTCCTTCGCCTCCCCTCTGGCCTTCTGCCACTTCCACTCCCTGTGCTCCATGGCAGCCACAGGGACTTTTGAAAATCATAAATCACACCATGTCTTTCCCCTGCTTACACACCCTCCATGGCTCCTCATTGCTCTTTAATCCTCAGTCCCTGCCTGCACACCTCCCACCTTCATCTTCCTCCTCTCTTCCCCTCATTCATTCTGTTTAGGACACATCAGCAGCCTCCCCACAGTTCTTCAAACATGCCAAGCTCGTTTCTGCCTCAGAACCTTTGCACGTGCTATTCCCACTGCCTGGAATGTTGTTCTCCCAGCTCTCACCTGGCCGGCTCCTCCTCTTCCTTCAGGTCTCCCCTCATGGTCCCCTCCCTGGAGAGGCCCCTCTGCCCACCCACAGGAGATCTCTACCCTGGTCATTCTCTAATACTTCACTGTGCTTTATTTTCCTCTCTGTACATGTCACAAGGGCTGATATGGGCCTGCCTCAGTCCCTGCTGTAGCCCCAGTGCCCAGCTCAGGGCCTGGCACATGCTAAATGCTCGGTGTTTGTTGATGGACTAAATGATCCCCCTCCCCCATCTGGGACTGTTGCTTCTGTTCTCTCCAGACATGCATGGGCAGCTTTTCTTTTAACCTGGAATGTCAGGCAACGTTTGCAGGGGAAAGAAGGAGTAAAGGATCTTTCACCCTAGGAGCTGCCTCCCTCCAGGGACTGAGGCTACACTATCCACGTAGTGGAGACTGAGATTCAGTCTGGTTCAACTCTCCCCATCTGGCTATGTGACACTTCACCCAGCCTCTCTGAGCAGGTTCCCCACCACCAGTGATTAGAGAAAGTGAAACAGTGGTTCTCTTGGGGGGGGAGGAGGGCATTCTAGAAAGCACAGGCACTATTATTATTGTATTTGTATTATTACAAAGTCTGGCATTTCTTCTTAAGTCACCGGTTTTTCTATCCAACGCCTGGGTCATCCCCCCTCCCAAAGGTGGCCTGAGTCTGGGATTCACTCACGCTTGGATGCAGGGGTCTCCCTGATGA